GCATATTATGGACTCCGATATGTATGTAATATACAATATATTGGCGCATAGAGTGCTGTGTTGTATGCATTGATGCAGATTTTATGAGCGGAAAAAATAATATGCAATTCTGTAATGTAAAGCACTATAAGGTTATAAATGGTTTAGTCTTGTATTTGCGATACAGTGTTAGCACTGTTTAGAGTCTATTACAAGCCTTATATATCGTATGCTTTGCTTATCAATGCGTAACGTTATATAACATACAGTTTTTGAGAGCGAAGTATAGCGTTGTTGGCGAAGAAGTCTTCGCTATGAAACGCATCCAATATATGGTCTCTCATGTGATATACACAGACACACAGCAACTCATGTGTCGATCGGATCGCAGCCAACATTTCACAACCATTTTTATTGATTGAAANGCGCATAGAGTGCTGTGTTGTATGCATTGATGCAGATTTTATGAGCGGAAAAAATAATATGCAATTCTGTAATGTAAAGCACTATAAGGTTATAAATGGTTTAGTCTTGTATTTGCGATACAGTGTTAGCACTGTTTAGAGTCTATTACAAGCCTTATATATCGTATGCTTTGCTTATCAATGCGTAACGTTATATAACATACAGTTTTTGAGAGCGAAGTATAGCGTTGTTGGCGAAGAAGTCTTCGCTATGAAACGCATCCAATATATGGTCTCTCATGTGATATACACAGACACACAGCAACTCATGTGTCGATCGGATCGCAGCCAACATTTCACAACCATTTTTATTGATTGAAAGGGAGGAATAGATAGTTTAGAGAATGCCTGTGCCATACATACACATAATGGTAAGACATATACACATAGGGATCAGTTTTAAGCATCAAAAACACAGACCAAAGAAGTAAAGAAGACGAAGAAAAATGTTTTTCAAGTGAAAAAAGTTTTAAAAATCAATAATCGCTGCAATTCTTTGTGTTTTTCGGGGGGAACTCTCTTAATGTTTTCAATATGTTTTCCCATATATATGCGTGTGAATCCCGAATGCCGATTCTGAGGATAACAAACAATTGCTCATCTCGTTTTTTTACAAATATTGAATTAACTAACTTTAGTATCCGTTTTTTCGCGACGCTCACTTGACCGTTATGCAAAAGCTACCGATAATAAAGCCGATATTGAATTGTATGGCAAACGATTTGCTCACTTCTCAGCTCCGCATCCCAGCGCTCGCACCCATACTCTCAGTGCCCCAAAGCATCGCACAATTCACTGGAAAAGCAGTTTTCGTTTGAAATTTTTGAGCGAAAAATATAATTCATTCACTCATTTGACTACTGCTTCGGTGAATAAGTGTTTCGCAAATCTGGTGGCGATAAGGAATGGGAGAGTTTTGGGCATAAATTGATACAAAATATATCTAAAATAAGTTTTAACACTGATAGCACGGCGTTCATTAGGGCACCGACACATTAATGAGAGAACTGCCAGTGCCTTTGATAGGAAATGGCTTTCTATCATATGGTGTTCTCCGTTAAACACTGAAATTAATGTGCTTTAAGGCTAATGTTGTCAAGCACACTTAGGGCTTACGGCTAAGACTCCTATTGTTTGTTAACGAGTAGAGCAAAAAAATGTTTATAACTTAATTGATTGAAATCATAGGCAAAAAAGCGCTGCGAGTGAACTGGCAATACGTTTTCGTACCGATAATAAAGCCGATATTGAATTGTATGGCAAACGATTTGCTCACTTCTCAGCTCCGCATCCCGGCGCTCGCACCCATACTCTCAGTGCCCCAAAGCATCGCACAATTCACTGGAAAAGCAGTTTTCGTTTGAAATTTTTTAGCGAAAATATAATTCATTCACTCATTTGACTACTGCTTCGGTGAATAAGTGTTTCGCAAATCTGGTGGCGATAAGGAATGGGAGAGTTTTGGGCATAAATTGATACAAAATATATATAAAATAAGTTTTAACACTGATAGCATCCGCAAGTAATCCCGTGGCTGTGTAATTACTCTCTTGACGGTCACGGAAACTATCCTTTACCGAAAGATAGTATACCACAAGAGGCAATTTGTGACTTTAATTACACGAAATTCCGATTACAACAGTAATACAGAGCACTGGTAGTTATTGGCAGAGAGCGGTAATACTGATGAGTAAAAATTTGGCGAAAATACGGCTAAATTTGCCGTTCACTTGACGGCTCAATCTAGTGAACAGTTTTGCGCTTCATTTGTCTTTTGTTTATTGCAAATTACATTTTGAGCCCTATTTTCAATGCAATATGCAATCACTTATTTTCCACATTTAAAAGGCAATAAACATCAAGACATAAGTTATGATTTTCAGTCCGAAGCATCGCTAGAATTTATATCTCTTATGGAATACAACACAAAAAACTTTTATGAATACAGATATGAAAAGAGAAAGTGAAAAGAAATTCTCGTTTTTAAGGAGAAATATATGACTTTTGAATAGAAAAGTGGAGTCAAAAAATGAATTTGAAGAGAGAGAGAGGGAGAGAGAGAGGGAGGGAGAGAGAGAGAGAGAGAGAGCACAGGGATGGCAGGGAAGGGACAGAACGATTGGCAATGCCTTTAACTTTTCAACCCATGGATAGCATTCATGCGAACAAAAGTAATGGGATTATAAAGAGAGAGGAAAGACGTGACGCTCTCTTAGAGAGCATACAGTTATTCGTATGGATTCGGGTATAAGAGAGAGAGAGAGAGAGACAAGTGAACAATGAATTGGTGCCACAAAACCCCTTTCCCCTACCGATTCACAAAACTTCCTATTCATGGCTGTGTTCTATGTGTTCACTGCAGTGACAGAGCACTCGAGTCGCAAAAAAAAGTTTTTCTTTTCATAAAAAGGGATTTAGTTTTAATGATCACAACTACAAACTATTGCTGATATGTTATGCCACTTACTCTCTCGCTCTCCCTGTCCTACCGATCCCTTTCCCACTGACACTCTATTACAACAACGATTTCAATGCCATTATATCGGAGGCACTCTATTATTATAATGCTTACCATCTTTTTCTTATAATTTATACCATTTTTGGGAAGTCCTTTCTCTCAATACATATCATGTCTGATGTTATACTGTATTTTGTGCGACGAGTGGCACACAAGCCGTGGCTTTCAATTTGTTTGCCATCCATTCATAAATCTCTTGTGTTTCTCTCAAATCTAATGTCATTCCTGACTCTTATGGTTAATGGAGAGCTCATCACATCCTTGAGGCGATGCGATGGACAACAGTCGTGAAGAAAACTGAGATTTTTTGGACAAATGAATCACTGAATCACTGGTTTTGAATGAATGAGTGATTCTTTAGGGTCTAAATAAATCTCTCATTTAATACGTTATAAGCAATAATGAACGACAAACTGATCCCACATTTAATTACATGTAATACACCGCTGAATGGCACAGCATTTGCTGGCTTAAGGTTTTTGTTGTCGAGTCCTATGTATACAGAATATTGACGATAAGTCGATGACTGGCATCACTGACACAAATAATAACATATTTTGTCGTCAAATCACGACTATATAAATGTGTTGCGATTGTGTGTCGTATCTGCTTATGATTCTGTCCTCTCTTATGATCTGTTTATGATATAAGTATCGGTTTGTTGTGCACTACCAGTGCTCTCACGACAGTTATGGCTATGGGTTGACGATAAGAATAATGTCTGTTCGCCCAGACCTTAGCGATCGTCATAAACGGCTCCAAATGTGTATTAATGTATTTTTTGGGGTCTTTTCCTATTCGATGCCATTATCTGGTGTAGTGTTATATTTCTCGTACCGATTCTCTCTCTCTCTCTCTCTCTCTCTCTCTCTCTCTCATGACTGCAATTGCATTAACACTTGATTTTAAGTATGTGTTCGGCACCCGATTCCTGTGAAAATACAACTTAAGGAATAAGTTATTCAATAAATTGTCTCCTATTTTCTCAATCGAAAAGTTTGTTTCTGAGTTTTCTTTCAAAAAAATAAGAAACTGTTGTTATAAACAATTTTTACGATACAATGGCAGACGGATTTCAAGGGGAAGGCATTTCTTTGACCGATATGTACTTATATACTTTATACTTGTGTTATATTTTTGCGTGTGAGTAATGGCCCAAAAATAATATCCATTCAATAGTACGGTATCTATGAATAGGTTAGAGAGAGAGAGAGAGAGAGAGAGAGAGAGAGAAAGAAAGAGAGAGAGCTTGAAGGTCTATAAATTTGAAGTTCAGAATAAAGTAAAAAATAATTTTTGTTTTCTCGAGATATACTTTTTTGCAATCTAATGACAAAGTTTTTCTAAAATACATTTAACTTAGTAAATATTTATCATATTTTTGGTCCAAAATGTATATAAATATATGAGTGAAATGTTTTTCGTGTCAAATCTGATTATAACTGATTTGCATGTAATGTATTACTCGAATGCCATATAAAAGCTGTGGTCCAATGGTTTGCACGCAAACTGAATCGACAGTCAGATCCGGCGTCCCTTTTCTGACAGACATTCAGTATTTTTTAGTCGTTTTCGACTCAAAACCTTATTATCGATGGCTCTGTACATCACGCAATGGGTTCATGTTATTTGTGTTATTATATTGAGAAATGTGTGAACAAAACCGGCAGTTCCTCCACTATTTACTATATTCTCTATTCAACACAATTATTAAAAATTAAATATTAAATATATGCTAACACTTTATAAACGGTAACAATATTCACACTGTAAATACAGTATACTATACATTGGTGATATTGTAATTAGTACAGATAGAATTAATTAAAGAGTTGGTTATTTGCATTGAAAGTAATGAATTATATTGCATGGCTCAGAATAGGCAGTAAAAACAAGTACAATTGCCTCATATATAATAACTTATACAAAACTCTATAATTGCATTATCTTTTCCATTAAAACTAATAAACATTTATTTGATATTTTAATAAACATTTAAATTCTTATCTGAAAAAGTATTTTAATTATCTTTGAAACAGAGGACATCATAATAGACATAAAGAAAAGTAATTTATGTGCCGAAATGGGTGGTCCAAAGGCGCTGGGAATGGAGTCGGGAGTCATATCCGATGTGGACATCACGGCCTCCTCATCTTATAATCAACAGAGTGTCGGACCTCAAAATGGACGGTTAGTTTTTATTTAAAAATAAATTGTTGGCACAAACTCTTTTATAATAAGCGAAAACATTAGAGAAATTGATTACATTTCTTAGAAATTATTATTACATTATTCATGCGTTTGGAAAGACTAAAGTTTTTAAAAAATAATTGTTGATAATACTGTCTAATACTGTACAGTATAATTCCGCTCTGAAAATGATATGAAATTTAGTGACAAATATTTAATTTGCACAAAAATTTAGAAATAATTAAATGTAAACTTATCAATAATCAAAAGGTATACCGTAGTTCAATATTTAGTACTATATAGCGTATACCGGTATATTTTATGTTAAAATACTTTATTTATTAATGATATCACTAAACAGACTAAACCGGGAGATATCTGGAGGCGCGTGGTGTCCATCAAAACAACTCAATTCCGTCTTCTCGGGCAGCGAATGGATTCAAGTGGACCTCAAAGACAAGTTTGTGATCACAGGTGTGGGCACTCAGGGAAGGTTTGGTAACGGCGATGGTGTAGAGTATGTCGAAGAATATTGGTTGGAGTACTCGCGAGATAACGGCACCAATTGGAGCAAATGGTCGGGCATTGATGGCAATCATGTATGTCTTATATTAGTTTCAATAGTTTTATTAATTTATTTGCAGCACTTTTTTTTGCTGATTACATGGAAATGGGAATTAATTGAATTGAAAAGCACTTAAAACTATACTCTATTTGTGACAGAAATTGCCGGGAAATATGGACACGTACACAGTTGTGAAAAATGACCTATCACATCCTCTGGTTGGCATTAATCTGATACGAATCGTGCCGTTTGCCGGCCATCAGAGGACCATTTGTATGCGATTCGAGCTCTTCGGCTGCAGACAAAACAGTCTTCCGGTGCGATACTCAATGCCCGATGGCTTCAAAAGTAGCAAATTTGGTGACTTAGTTGACATGACTTACGATGGAAATCGAGACAACAATGGATACCTAAACGGAGGTATCGGACAACTGGTCGATGGTATCAAAGGTGATGACAACTATAAAGTTAATCACGTGTTTGAATGGATCGGATGGAGAAGCAATGGTGAGGTGAACGATGGCGTCCAAATCATCTTCGAGTTCAATGGGTTAGAGAACTTCACGTCCGCCACCTTTCACTGCCATAACCTCTATAAGCAAGACATGGAAGTGTTCTCAGCGGCGAAGATATGGTTTAGTTTTGACGGCAAGATTTGGTCCAAAAAGCCGTTAGAGTTCTCGTATATGGCCGACAACGCCATCGATAGGGCCCGGGATGTAGTCATTCATCTGCACCATCGCATCGGAAAGTTCGCTAAATTTGATCTCAAATTTGCGAAGAAATGGATTTTGATTAGCGAAGTGTCGTTTAAGTCATCCGCTATTAAAAGCAATTACACGCAATCCTACACCCATTTAGAGGCTGTCCACTCGTTGACACCCATCACCACAGCCGCCATCAACAGCGACAGGTCTTCGTTGACTGAATTCATAGTTTTGATATCATTTGGATTGGTCTTCACCATCATATTCAGCGCTAGTATTGTATTACTTCGGCTGCATATGAGACGGAATAATAAGTCCGGACATACCGTCGCGTCTAGTAATGTATGATATGATTATATACTTATAAATCTA